AGCGGGGAGGAGGAGCAGGAGGGAAGGAGGAGTCGGAAGGGGAGGAAGAAGCTGAGGAGTCGGAGGAGGAGGAGGAGGAGAAGGAGGGGAAGGAGGAGTCGGAGGAGGAGGAGGAGGAGAAGGAGGAGGAGAAGGAGGAGGAGGAGGAGGAGCAGGAGGAGCAGGAGGAGCAGGAGGAGCAGGCGGAGCAGGAGGAGGCGGAGGAGGAGAGGAGGGGGAGGAGGAGGAGGAAGAAGAGGAGGAGGAGACGCATGAACGGAGGGTCGGCCTTCGAGGTTTGGTAGTACCATTACGGTTCATATTGTTACTCTTGTTCGTTGTGCTATGTATCGGAGTGCGGTGATTAACAATAGCATGGCCATTGTTATCGTTATTGGTCTGTTCCTGGATCGTATACTTATGTAGCACCCCGCGGCTGCGGATAACAGTGAGGCGGCGGGCACGGGATGGGTCGCGGGTGGGTCGCGGGCGAGTCGCGGGTTGGTCGCGGGGTGGGTCGCGGGTGGGTTTCGGGTGGGTCGCGCGTGGGTTGCGGGTGTGTCGCGGATGGGTCGCAAGTGGGTCGTGGGTGGGTCGCGGGTGGGTCGCGTGCGGGTCGCGGGTGGGTCGCAGGCAGGTTGACGCGGTGGGTCGCTGGTGGGTCGCGGGCGGGTCGCGGGCGGGTCGCGGGGTGGGTCGCGGGTGGGTCGCGGGTGGGTCGCGGTGGGTCGCGGGTTGGGGGGTGGGTCGCGGGTGGGTCGTTGATGGGTCGCGGGTGGGTCGCGGGCCGGGTCGCGGGCGGGACGACGACAACAAACAACAAACAACAAACAACAAACAATTACAAACACCGAACAACAAACAACGAAACCAAACAACAAACAACAAACAGTAATCGTCAATCACAACGAGAGCAATAACACCATACCAACAACAACCACCGCAGGAACAACAACAACAATCATATCAAGACTGTTTGCCCTTATCTGCTCGAGTGTCCAATCTCGCGTATTTCCCAAACCCGCGATACCCGCCCTCTTCGTCTTCGATCGAACCCCTTTTGGGGGGTATACATTTCTTCCCTGCAGGCCGGGCCCCGGCCAGCGGCGGGGCGGCCACGGACCGTCGGCCTGGCCAGCGGCAGCGCTGATCGGCCGGGCGGCCGCGGACCGTCGCCCCGACCCCAAGAGGGACGGACAGTTGACCGATCATGACGACGACGACGTCGACGACGACGGCGACGATGACGACGACGACGACGACGGCGACGACGACGACTATCGAGAGCGAGAGCGAGAGAGAACGACGGTAGGGCCACGAAGTACACAAAGTAGGCCACGAAGGGCGACAGCGGGGACACGAAGGGAATGCGTATGGGGCCACGAAGAGCGCGAACGAGCGGGGGCCACGAAGGGCAGATAATGCGGGGCCACAGAAGGCAACGATGGGGCCACTGAGGGTAGCAGCTGGGCCACGTAGGACAGTGAGGGGACCACAAACGGCGACAGCGGGGACACGACGGGCATGCATATGGGGCCACCGCGGGCGCGAACGAGCGGCGGCCACGAAGGGTATACGTATGTTGGGCCGCGGAGGGCAAGGACGGGGCCACTGAGGGCAGCAACGGGGCCACGAATGGCAGCGATGGGGGCCACGAAGGGCGACAGCGGGGCCACGAAGGACATGCATATGGGGCCACCACGGGCGCGAACGAGCGGGGGCCACGAAGGGCATGCATATATGGGGCCACGAAGGGCAGCGAGGGGGGCACGAAGGGCTGCAATGGGGCCACGAAGGGCAGCGAGGGGGCCACGAAGGGCTGCAACGGGGCCACGAAACAAAGCGAGGGGCCACGAAGGGTCGCAACCTGGCCACGAAGGGCAGCGAGGAGGCCACGAGAGGCCGCAACGGGGCCACGAAACAAAACGAGGGGGCCACGAAGGGCTGCAACGGGGCCACGAAACAAAACGAGGGGGCCACGAAGGGCTGCAACGGGGCCACGAAGCAAAGCAAGGGGGCCACGAAGGGCTGCAACGGGGCTACGAAGGGCAGCGAGATCCCGATTCCTACGTAATCTTTGAGGGAGTCCTAAGCGTGAGCGCGACTCCTGGGTGCCTGGGTGTCGGGAGCGCGGCTTTCGAGTGAGTTGTAGGAAATTCCAACGCAAGGGCGCTATTCCTCATTAAATTGCACGTGGGTCTCCAGCAAGAACGCGACTCCAGAGCGCCGGGAGAGCGAATCCTGAATACACTGTAAGGAAGTCCCAAGCGAGAGCGCGACTCCTGAATAACATGCGAGGAGGTCTCGGGCGGGAGCGGGGGTCCTGGCTAAATTGCGAGGAAGTCTAAAGCGGGAACCGTTGTTGTTGCAACCCGGGGGCCAGGGGCGCAGTTTGAACATCAAGACTGTCCCTGTCAAAAAAACCGGGTGCGAGCGTCGAGGGGCACCGCTTGGGTGAGAAAAAACAGCATGCACCGGTGAGGGGGGATCAGCAATAATTACGCTTCGGGAGTCAGAGTTCAACAACAACGATATCAACATCGGCAACAGCAGCAGCAACACCAACGACGACAACAATAATTCTCAGCCCCAAAACCACCCAAGAGACCCTCTGGACGGCCCCAAGACGGGCCAAGAAGGCTCAGACCATTCAACATTGCAGTCGCCAGCATCTGCGCTAGAACCTAAGCGCGCGCGAGGCGCGCGCGTGGTTCTAGTATATGTATGTATATGTATACGTGGATGTTTGTATACATGCTTGCATGATTGGATGTATATATGTAAGTATGTATGTGTGCATGCAAAAATGTATGTGTATTCGAGTGTATATAGGTGCAGGTCGGTGGGTCGAGGGGTACGTATGCGTGTGTGTATGTCTGCATGTACATGTGTATGTACATATGTATGGGTGTGTGTACGTGCGTACGTGTGTATGTAAGCCTGTGTGTAATGGTTGTATGGTTATACATGTATATGTGTATGTATGTATGTATGTATGTGTGTGTATGTATGTATGTATGTATTTATGTATGTTTGTATGTATGTATGTATGTATGTATGTATGTTCCCCAATCAGAGCTTGCCTCCGTAGGGGTCCTAGCGGATTCATATTGTTAGGTGAGGTGCGGCGCCGATTTGGTGGCCGGCGGCCGGGTGCCCGGGTGCCCGGGTGCCCGTGGGTGCCCGGAGTCCTAAGATTTCGGTGGCCGGTGGCCGGATGCCCGGGTGCCCGTGGGTGCCCGGGTGCCTGGGTGCTCGGGGGTGCCCGGAGCTGCCCAGGTGTGCCCGCGTACTTGATAGCCATGTAGCCCTATAGCATTATAGCTCTATAGCCCAATAACCCAATAGCCCAACAGCACATATAGCCCATGTGGCCTTATAGTCCAATAGCCCTATAGTTTTATGGCCCTATAGCCCTATAGCCCCTATAGCCCCATAGCCCAATAGCCCTATAGCGCTATACCCCCATAGCCCTATAGCCCCATAGCCGAATAGCCCTGTAGTCCTATAGCCCCGTAGCCCCAACAAAAACCGGATTGGGATTTTTCTCTGGTATCATACGTAGTTATGTGTAGGTACGTATGTGAGGGGCACGCCCTGCGCTGCACGCAGCTGTGTGGGGCTGGGTCCATCGCCAGGCGTAGGTTGCTGGTCTTCAGGGGAGGATGGGGACGGGGGGGGGGGGAGATGAACAGGAGGCGAGGCCGGGAGGACCGCTACGAGGACGGGGAGGAGGTCGAGGAGGAAAAGTGGAGGTTGCGGGGGGGCTTGCAAAGCTTGCTGGTGGGTTCCATCAAGGTTTTGGGGGGGTCGAAGAGGAAGCACGTGAGTCCATGGGCGTCAGGGGAGGAGAAGGAGGAGGATGAGGAGGAGGACTGTGCGGGTTGAGCGGGACCCTGGGCGTTGTTAACGATCCAAAGACCGCAGAATCTGTCTGTCGGTGGGACTCTGCAGCCACCTTCTGAGACATTTCAGCATCGACACCTTGCCGTCCAAACCTGGGAATAACGTCAACTCGATCTTTAATTCCGAGATGCTAGTTCACTGTATGCGCCTAGCAACAAGCGGGATGGTTTCAAGAACGAGGTGGGCAGAGCCAGCGCATGTTCTTGTGCGGCTAGTCCAGTTCATACAGGCAAACAGCCCGACCATATGGTAGAGCGAGCAGCTATGTGCCCAGAAACCGCAACAAGCCCATGAAAGCCCATTCTGCGCTGTAAGCCCCATGTTAGCCGTCCATTGCCATCAACCCACCCCAGAAGCCCAACAAACCCATTAGAGGCCAGACAGGACCTCTAATTTGAATGTTTCATGAAGCGTCTCACGATCGAGGGTCGTCACAGTCCTGCCCGCCCGCGCCAGGCAGGCCTGGCATGATGCGTCTGAAGCATGACCTGCCAACAGACATTCACCATGGAAGCCTTTGTCGAAACCGAGGATTCGACTCCAAGGCGTAGCTCGGTCACCGCGTCCGAATCATACGGCGCGGTCCAGGTAGGGCCTCGCCTCAAGGAATCGTGAGGCTGACGCGTCTTCGTCTGCGGAAGGCGGCGGAAGTAAAGTGAGGGCGGCTCCGCCAGCAGAACATAGTGGCAGCAGACCATGCGCCCCCAAGAGATGGCAACATGTTTGCGCTCATGTTCTGAAGCGCACAACTGAATGATTGCACACGTTGAGCGCTTGGCAAGATGATGAAGCGTTGCTTACACAGCGTGGTGGCCCCGCAGGCTACCCGACTTACCACTGGTGCCGTCCTCGCCGCTGCCAGTCCATGTGTTGCTTGATAGTGTGCTTCCCATTGCATGCTCCGTGCGACCAGGTTGAGTGCGCGCATGGAAGGGCGCGCGCCGAGAGCTGAATCAAGGAGGAGGGGGGCACGCAGGGGAGGAGGGCCTAGGACCACCACTTCCAGTGGTTCGACGGCAGAGACCTGGGAACCCTCACGCCCCTGCAGCCATGGAGCGGGCGGGGGGGGTCTCTTTCGGCGGCCAGTGCTGTGACACAACTCACTTCCCCGATAGCCCTACCAACCCCCTTGTTCTTTCCATCGCCCTCTATCTCCCTCCCCCATCTCCCCTGCTCGCCCATCCCAGACCCCCGGCGTTATTATGATTCATAACGCGGGCCAGCAGGGATCTGCACTCCTTCCCCGTGACGAGCTTTTCATCATGTGATGTTCATTGGTCTCAGGGCCCGGTGAGGGCCCCCAGGAGCCGAACATGGGCAAACGCCTCCCGTCGATGCTATCCCGTAACAGCTTGCCTGCAAGGCTGTTGTTTAATTTTTTCTGAGAAGCTACCAGGTGCTGGTGGGGAGGCGTGACCTCCTGGGGCGCCCCATGGCCTCCCAGTATTGGTTGCCGCCCGTGGTCTCTCGCTGTCGCACGTGACCTCCCACTGCCTCGCAGCATTCGCATTCGTAGTAGCATTCGCATTCGTCTTCGTACCACTGCCAGTTAGATTTGCATTTAGTCGTGGTAGCATTCGCATTCTGATTCGCATGCGTATTAACATCAGTTGTCGCATTCGTCGCAGATGTAGTGCCAGTATTCGCTTGTAGGAGCTATTAACATAAATACTCGCAGAGCTGCACGTATCAGCACTGATGTTGGCAGTTATCTTCGTATTAGTGATAGGTTATGTTGGCGTTCAGCATTGTGAGCTGTAGTCGTGCAAGTAGTAGCCGTAGTCGTAGCAGTCGTAGTAGCAGTAGCCGTAGTCGTAATAGTAGTCGTAGTAGTAGTAGTAGTAGTAGTAGTAGTAGTAGTAGTAGTAGTAGTAGTCGTAGTCGTAGTAGTAGTCGTAGTAGTAGTCGTAGTAGTAGTAGTAGTAGTAGTAGTCGTAGTCGTAGTCGTAGTCGTAGTCGTAGTCGTAGTCGTAGTCATAGTCGTAGTCGTAGTCGTCGTCGTAGTAGCAGTAGTAGTAGCAGTAGTAGTAGTAGTAGTAGTAGTAGTAGCAGTATTATGAGTAACATTACTAGTACGAGTCACAGTAGTAGTGGTGGTCGTAGAGGTCGCAGTAGTAGTAGTAGTAGTAGTAGTAGTAGTAGTAGTAGTAGTAGTAGTGGTAGTAGCAGTAGTAGTAGTAGTAGTCGTAGTAGTAGTAGTAGTAGTAGTAGTAGTAGTAGTAGTAGTGGTAGTACTAATAGCAGCAGCAGCAGCAGCAGCAGCAGCAGTAGTAGTAGTAGTAGTAGTAGTAGTAGTAGTAATTGCATTCGTAGTAGTGATAATAATAGTAGTCGTAGTCGCATCCGTATCCGTATCCGTAGTCGGAGCCGTAGCCGCAGTCGTAGTAGCAGTAGTAGTAGTAGTAGTAGTAGTAGTAGTAGTAGTAGTAGTAGTAGTGGTAGTAGCAGTAGTAGTAGTGGTAGTAGTAGTAGTAGTAGTAGTCGTAGTAGTAGTAGTAGTAGTAGTAGTAGTACATGTAGTAGTAGTCACAGTCTTAGTTATAATTGCAGTAGTATTTATAGTAGCCGTAGGCATCGTCGCAGTCTGTGCCGTAGTCGTAGCCATAGCCTGGGTAGGATCAGCAGGAATAGTAGCAGGAATGGTACTAGTGGTCGTAGGTGTCGTAGAGGTGATAGTCGTAGTAGACGTCGTCGCAAGATTCCTATTGCAGTGGGTGTAATATTCGTAGGAGTAGTAGTTGCAGTACCCGAGTGGAACTAGTAGTAGTAGTGCTAGTAGTATTAGTAGCAGTAGTAGTAGTAGTAGTAGTAGTAGTCGTAGTAGTAGTAGTAGCAGCAGTAGTAGTAGTAGTAGTAGTAGCAGTAGCCGTAGCCATAGAAGTATCAGTGGAAGTAGTAGTAGTAGTAGTAGTCGTCGTCGTCGTACTTGTAGTCGTAGTCGTAGAAGAAGTAAAGGTAGACGTAGAAGAAGAAGTAGTAGTAGTAGTAGTAGCAGTAGGCGTAGTAGTGGTAATAGTAGTAGGAGTTACAGCAGTAGTAGTAGTAGTAGTAGCAGTAGGAGTAGTAGTAGTAATAGTAGAACCAGAGGTAGTAGTAGTAGTAGTAGTAGTGGTAGTACTCGTAGGGGTAGTAGCATCAGTAGTAGTAGAAGTCGTAGTAGTAGTAGTAGTAGTAGTAGTAGTCGTAGTAGTAATCGTAGTAGTAGTAGTAGTAGTAGTAGTAGTAGTAGTAGTAGTAGTAGTTGAAGTTGTCGCCGTAGTCGTCGCCGTAGTAGCAACAGTAGCAGTCGAGTAGTAGTAGTAGTAGTAGTAGTAGTAGTAGTAGCAGTAGCAGTAGTAGTAGTAGTAGTGGTGGCAGTAGTAGTAGTAGTAGTAGTGGCAGTAGTAGCACTAGCAGTAGTAGTCGTAGCCGCCGTCGTCGCCGTCGCAGCAGTCGTAGTCGTAGTCGTCGTATTGGTCGTTAAAGCTATCGAATGTGTAGCCGCAGTCGTATGATTGTGTATCGTACTAGTAGCGGTAGCAGTAGTAGTCGTAGTTGTAGTCGTAGTCGTAGTAGCAGTAATAGTAGTAGTAGCAGTAGTAGTAGTAGTAGTAGTCGTAGTAGTAGTAGTAGTAGTGCTAGTCGTAGTAGTAGTAGTAGTAGTAGTAGTAGTAGTAGTAGTAGTAGTAGTAGTAGTAGTCGTAGTAGTAGTATCAGCAGTAGAGGTAGTAGTAGTCGTAGTAGTAGTAGTAGTAGTAGTAGTAGTAGTAGTAGTAGTAGTAGTAGTAGTAGTAGTAGTAGTAGTAGTAGTAGTAGTCGTAGTAGTAGCAGCAGTAGTAGTAGTGGTTATAGTAGTAGTAGTAGTAGTAGTAGTAGTAGTAGTAGTAGTAGTAGTAGTAGTAGTAGTAGTAGTAGTAGTAGTATTCGTAGTGGTAATAACAATAATAATACTGAACCGTTGTTTGACGCCCCCGCGGCCCTGGGAGGGCCCCTGGAGGCCAAACATGGCGAACAACCTCTCGCGCCGTGACTTTGTCCATGGCTCGAGGGGGTCTGGGGAACCCGCCTTGGAGATTGTTTCATGATCCCCCAGCACCTCCAGAGCGCGTGGTGCCCCTCGTGGTGGCAGCGACCACGCATTGGGGAAGAGCTTCTTCGGCCAGGGCTCCTGCGGCCGGGAGGCCTCGAGGCAGGCCGGTGGGGCCGGGGATGTGCCCGGAGCCTGGCCTTCGGGACTCAGGAGACGGGGGTCAATGCAAACGCGGGTCAGCCAGAGCGGCGGATCTTGCAGGATCCTGCTGGACCAGGGCTGGATTGACCCAGGTTTGGGTGCAGGACCGGGCTTGGGTGCAGGATCTTGCGGGATCTTGTAGGATTCTGCAAGGCTTGACTGGCCCAGATCTGGATTGACCCGGGTCCGAAGCTCCCCGATGGCCGGCCACGCACTGGTCGACATGCCCACGCCTTCGACGGCCGGGGGGGGGAGTGACCGCGAGGACGATAGGGCCCAGACCCCCTCGAGCCATGGACAAAGTCACGGCGCGAGAGGTTGTCCGCTACGTTTGGCCTCCAGGGGCCTTCCCCGGGCCGCGGGACCGTCAAAAAACGACTCAGGATGGAAAACCGGTCCCGGGGAATGGGTCGAGACCCTCGGGGTCGACGTCATGAAAAAATCCTCCTCCTCCTTCTCCTCCTCCTCCTGCTCCTCCTCCTCCTCCTCCTCCTCCTCCTCCTCCTCCTCCTCCTCCCTCCTCCCATTCCTGCCTCTGCTCACTGCATGTCCACCATTTCGGCGCACTCCTCACACGTTTCGTGGCCCCATAGGGAGCTCCACCGAAGGCCCCAGTGGGGGTGCCCGCATGCGTTCGCTGCACCCAGTGCAGCGTCTGGTGGCCCCATAGGGAGCTCCATCGAAGGCCCCAGTGGGGGTGCCCGCATGCGTCCGCCACACCCAGTACAGCGCGTCGTGGCCCCATAGGGAGCCCACCGAAGGCCCCAGTGGGGGTGCCCGCATGCGTCTGCCACACCCAGTACAGCGCTTCGCGGCCCCATAGGGAGCTCCACCGAAGGCCCCAGTGGGGGTGCCCACATATGCCCGCCACACCCAGTACAGCGTCTCGTGGCCCATAGGAAGCTCCACCGCCGCACCCAGTACAGCGCTTCGTGGCCCCATAGGGAGCTCCACCGAAGGCCCCAGCGGGGGTGCCCGCATGCGTCCGCCACACCCAGTACAGCGTTACGCTGCCCCATAGGGAGCTCCACCAGAGGCCCATAATAGGGAGCTCCACCGAAGGCCCCAGTGGGGGTGCCCGCATGCGTCCGCCACACCCAGTACAGCGCCTGCTTCGTGGCACACTGGAACTTCACCGAAGGCCCAGTGAGGGTGGCCGCATGCGCGCGCCACACCCAGTACAGCGTCTCGTGGCCACATAGGAAGCTCCACCGCCGCACCCAGTACACCGCTTCGTGGCCTCATAGGGAGCTCCACCGAAGGCCCAAGTGAGGGTGGCCACATGCGTCCGCCACACCCAGGACAAGGCTTCGTGGCCCCATGGGAGCTCCACCGAAGGGCCCAGCGGGTGTGGCCACATGCGTCCGCCACACCCACTACAGCGCTTCGTGGCCCCATAGGGAGCTCCACTTGAGGCCCCAGTGGGGGTGCCCGCATGCGTCCGCCACATTCATTTCGGCGCACCCCATCGCCCGCTTCGTGGCCCCATAGGGAGCTCCACCGAAGGCCCAGGCGGGTGCGGCCACATGCGTCCGCCCGACAAATTCGGGAACACCCTTCACACGTTTCGTCGTGCCCCCATAGGGAGCTCCGTAAGGCCCCAGTCGCGACGTTCGCATGCGTCCGTCCGACTCATGCGGGCACACCACTCACAAGCTTCGTATCCCAAGAGAGAGCTCCACCGAAGGCCCCAGCGGCGCCCCCCAGCCCATTTCGTTCGGTACACTTCTCACTCGCTTCGTGGCCCATGGGGAGCTCCACAGAAAGTTCGCATACGTCCCACCCATTCGCCCCCCCCTGCCAGCACTGCCCCACCCCTCGTGTTTTCTGCGGCGCGCTGCCC